GGGGGGGGGGGGGGGGGACCAAGTCTCCGGGAAGCAAAAGGTTTCCAGCCGGTGGTATCTTTGCAGCAGATGCTCCTGCAAGAGTGGATCGTTTCCCTGCAAGCTTGCAGAAGTGAACGGAGAGACATGCATCACAAAGGAACTGCACAGATCTTTACTTATTTGTAAGGCAGCGTAAGGTAAGGTGAGCTTTCCACTGCAATTAGACATGTCAGCATGAACTGTTCTGCGCCTCCCAGGACCGGAGGGATCCGGGAGCTCTGCGCCGTCGCCTCCCCGACACAGGCTCTCTTTAAATAGCGAGTGCTTACATGTTTTCGTGATTAAAACTTCATCGTGGGAAGTGGACGGCAAAACGCTGAGCCTAAATATTTGGGGAGGAGGGAATGTTATGCAATAGTATATCTGGCTGCCTGGGAATAGCTGCTGCGTCCTGTAACTTTCATGACAGATAAGGGGAGAAGGGATTGGGGAAAAGATCACGGTACATGTCCAAAGCATGTCTTCGTTCGAGAAAAATACCATGGTCTCCTCTTATAAAAATACTTTGCCAGAAGGTTAGTACTTAGACCATCCCCAAAGATGCACAAAGTCTTGCAGGATTGATTACAACTACCTACCACTGCTTTTTAACTTTGATATTAGAAAGTCCAAATAGATCTGTAGTGAAGAAAAAAATTATACCTCTCCATAATAACCCATAGTAAAGGGAATATTTGCCAGCATCTTTCCTTCTCAACTTGGTGTGCCATACTTTATTTAAAAAAAAAAAAAAAAAGGACACGCACATTCTCCGCCCCCCCTCCCCCGCAGGCTCTGAAGCTGCAGGCATTTTCTGAACTATTATTAATGTTGGAAAATAGTGGTCCTCACTATTTAATATTCCAACTTCCAATAATCTAACATATTCAATTGGAAATGACATGAAAATGCAGCAAATGGGACAAAAGGTAGCACCAAAGTCAGAGAGAGAGAGAGAGACGAGGACCTTGCATCTTGCTGCTTCATGCTGAGCGTTTCTGTCTCGCGTCTGGTATCACTCAAATAAAAATCCTCTCTTGTGACCTCAGCATCTCTACTTAATACAATGCCACAAAAAAAAAAAAAGCTCCAGCAATCAAGGG